GAAAAAAAAAAAAAAAAAAAAAAAAAAAAAAAAAAAAAAAAAGTTTATTGATCTTTATCATCCTGTTAGATTTAGCTCAGAATAACTTATTTACAGTTCCTTAAGATCAGATTTTTATGAAAGGACTAAACGTCTATTAAAGTTTTTCAAAAGAATGTTGGGTCCGTGAAAGATTTGGTTTCCGAATGAGTAATGGAAACCTAGGGACAAACATTCATACCCTGTGTTGTCTTACTTTATAAAGTACCTAAGTGAGTTATCATATCTCTTCAAATGAAATCTTATATGGTAATCCCTGGCACATAAAAACATCTTGGCTGCTTCATATATATAGTTTATTGCCTTTGGAGGCCACCACCTTACCAGCAAGGGCCAAACCCTATTAAAAGTGGAAAGGATAGTAGTCAATTAAAAAACAAAGAATGATACTGATTACAGTAGTTGAATCAATGTTACAAAGCTTGGTAGAGATCTTATCCTAGGCTTGGGTCAGGAATTAAGCCTATTCATTCTATGCAATATTTTCTGTGTTTATTTGTATAGTTTTCTCACAGATAAGCATCTATAGCTGCCAATAGGCTGTTAAAGGTTTAGTGACATACAGAAAAAGTCAATCACTGAATGGAAGTATATTTCCTCCCCAATCAGCAGCTGGAAAAGTGGGCAAACTGCTGCTTGGTAATATTGAGAGGCCACAAAGGACGTAGGAGACCTGGCTGTATGCTAAAGGACTTAATCGTCTGGTTGAGACCCTTGTGGGATAACTTGAGAAGGGACAAAGGCTTCTCCCAACTGTTTTAATTCCAGCTCTCTTTTAGAGGAGTGACAAAGCCAAGTATATTGCCCAAATATTTTTCAGGCCCTACTATTACATGGTGACATTTGATAGCCATTTATTGAACAAAAAGTACCTATAAGCATCAAGGCACTTCTCAGGCTTAACTCAGACTTTAATAAATTATGTTTTATTTTTTTAAAAAAGTAATTTTATATTAAAATGATATATGATTAGTGAAGAAACTTTGGCAAATAGAGTTAAACTCCACTCCTTACACACAAAAGGAATGATCTTACCTTGTAGAAGTAAGCAATCTTAATATTTTGGTTTGTGGAAATTCATCTAGATTTGGATATATTTTTATCTCTATATCTATCTTTATAGATACAGATGTATATAGCTGTAGTTATATCATCCTACTACACATGAAGCTTTATGAACCAACTTTTATTGCTTAACCTATTATAAGAATTTTTCCAAACCATTGGCAATTTTTTCAACATCTTTTTTCAATATTTTGAGACAATTTTATAATTTATTTCTAAGTTAATTTATCAAAGATGCAGTGAGTATCCTTTTATCAATATGTTTATTCACATCCTTGGTTATTTTTTCATACAGTTTCTAGAAGTCAGCTAGGGCCCAAAATAGACAAATTTCTAAGCCTTTAGATATGTATAAAGGTACTTCAAAAAGTTTGTGGAAAATAGAATAAAAAGATAATACAAATCTTTCCATGACCTTTTTGAAGTATCCTCATATTGGTCAAAGCGTTCTCTAGAAATTGTAACAATTTATACCTCTGGCTACCATACACTGTGCTTTTGGAATCTGGATGAAAGGTAAAGTAAAAACATGTGTCTTAAAAAAAAAAACATCAGATAAGTGACAGAGTATATTGTCTCTTGAGGCTGATGGACTTGTATTTTCAGTTGTAGCATTTAAAGAAAGGGTGACCATTTTACTTAGTGATTTCTATTTCACAAAAGAATGCAGACAGTTAAAATATAATGGTGTGTTCATTGATGTCACGTACAAGCATGTGTTATGTTTGCAGTGTTCACATGACCATAACTTTCATTTTTCATACTTAAAGATCTTCAAACTTGTCAAAGCATGACACACTCCTTTCCAAGTGTGTCCTATCAAGCTTGAAAGTTCTCAAAAGCTTTCTTCCACTTAGTTTTGCTTTCAAAGTGTTTGAAATCACACTTAAAGAAAATTAAAAGAAAAAAATGAATTTTCCCTCTAGAAAAGGTCAAATTTGAATTCCAAAGCAATTTAGTTGAGACTTACAGCAACTAACAGGAAATTTATCTAGTCTAAGTGGAATGTGTTTATAAACCAGAAAAATAGGGGTTTTATTGGATATTTCATTAAGGAATTAAGTTTTCATAGCAATTACTGTGGAATTTATATGGGTGATTATAAATTAAATAAAACTTTATCAGTGACCTAATTGCCCTATAAATATGACAAGGAAAAAGGGAATCATGAGGACTTTATTCCTATGGCGGCAATATAGTACGGTGGTGATAAGGACTTATTTGAGTTATCTTGCCAGGGTTCAAATTCCACCTCCAGCCATCATTGGCCTTAGATAAGTTACTTTCCCTCTCTGTGCTTTGATTTTCTTCTGAGATAGAGGACACTAACATGTGTGAGGGGACTAACTGTCCTAGTTTGCCCAGGACTGTTCTGCTTTTAGCACCTAATGTCCAGCATCCAGGGAAAGCCCTCCCTGAGACAAGAAAACTTCTAGTTTTTCGGGATGGGTGTGGGAAGTTGGAGGAAAAGTATAAAACCCATAAGTGGCCCCCACGCCTGAAAAAAAAGTGGCTGAAAGCAGCACTGTTTTTAGTGTCAGACATATCCAGTATAGATTATCTGTCTTCCATAATTGCTTTTACTGGTTCCCCCCTCATTGCTGATATTGGCAACCATAAATGGAATGAGATAACATTTAAAATATTTAGGCCCTCACTGAAGTATACAAGGGCACTTGAAAAAGTTTGTGGAAGGATTCATGTTATATTTTAATTCCATTTTTCCATGAACTCTTTGAAGTACCCTCTTGGTAAGCATTCAAACATGTTAGTGTTTATTATTATACCAAGTTCTATGCTGTTCTTTGATGGTACTGAATACTCTTAAAAAGGAGAAATAACGTGTACTCTCCTGCTATTGATATTAAGAAAAATAGTGCTATAGTTCCTTGGAGTGGTAGAAATCCGAGCAGTTGCCCTTTGCATGTTCGGTAAAATGTCCTGCCATCAAAGGGTATCCACTGTTCCTCTCATTTTGTCTTTCAGCAGAGATGCTCTGACCCTTTCAAATATTTAGCAGTAGACTTTCCTCTCAATGTGTGCTCACGACTCCTGTTACCGTTAATGGAAGTTACACATGTGTGCTCACCAGGATGAGAAAGCCTTTATCCCATGTCGGGCAAAGACCCGTGATCCTGAATCTCTTTCTAAACTTCGGACTCAAAGAGAGCAGTGCAGGGAATTGCTGCTTTCTCACTATATTAGCTTCTTCAATTTCCTTTTAATTGGAGCCTGCAACCCAGATTCTTGTAACTTCAGAGCGATGAACAATACAAATTAAGATCTGGATGCTTTCCAGGTAGGGCTTGGCTCAGAAATACCTTTTTTCTTTTTTTTTTCCCCCTTAAACACAGTTGTGGCTTCACAAATCGCATGCAGTTGCCTAATGAGTCCATAGTTGCTTCTGAAGTCTCACATTTGCAAACTACACTGCTGAGAAAGTAAGTGAAGTGTTCACTCACCTCTGTTGTGAGCTGACTGATTTAATGTACAGGACAGATAAACACTAGAATGTTCAAAATTCTAAACTAGGGGCACAAAACCTTCAAATACAATATCTTACCCTTGCTCAGGACATTTATTTCTGCCCAAGAATTCTTTTTAATGTATAAGACTTCAATTTATGTTTAAGAACTAGTAAACTATAGCAGTTTGACAGCCATTCACACTTAATTCTGTGCATTAAACCAACAGCATTCTTTTCCACAAACATCCATTGTTAGGACAATGCTCTCAGACAGAATTTATGAGAAATGGAATTATGTTACCAAGGAGATAGCATTTACTATAATGAAGAGTAGATCCTAGAAAATGGCCCCTTTTACAGCAGCTCAGAGCAGAGCCACAAAAGCAATTGATTGGTCTTGGCATTTAGTCTTATATCAGCTGTGTCATCCACAGCTTCAGGAGTGAGAACACTAATCTAAAGTGACATTTCTGTTCTGGCGGGCTTTTCTGCCCTGATGAAAGCAATTACTTCATTCCTAAATGATAATTTGTGGGAGTTTCAACCACTTTAATTGATAATTTTTTTTTTGTTCTGAGTTCAATTGTGAAGTGATTAGCTGATTTGGTAAATAGAAATTTAAGGTGTGAAATATACAAGTTGCTCCAAGGTAAAGTGCTATTTATTGGGTAGAGAGAAATTACTAGATAAAGCTGAACTTTTTTCCATTATTATGGAACTGCCAGTTGTATAGCTTAAAGTTCTGGGGGAAAATGAAGAACAAAACACTTTGATTCACAAGGTTTTTGGCAGACACCAAAGCATACAATGAATAGCTTGGTCTTGCTGTGGTTCATTCAAGGGTTATTTGAATCAAGGTGAACATTGGTTGAAAAGGACTGTGCAGACCTCTCGGCTTTCTTTATTACTATTCTAATGACTCATTCTGGAATTAAATCCTCTTATTTAAAGTGTTAAGAATAAAAATGCTCATTGGCTAAAACCAATTAATTTAATTATTATGTTCAAACATACACAAGACACTTTCTGAAGATGAGGGGAGGCATTCAGTTGAATGGTTTTAATTACTCTTTTGATCTGTGTTACCCTAAGTCAAATGGGTCAGGATTATTCAATCTGAATATAAGTTTAAAAAATGTAAGTATACATCTTGATATTGATACTTTATCAGATGTTAGCAGTTGCAGATGTGGTTTTGACACATTTTTAAAGCAATCAATTTCATATATTCTTACATTTGAAAAAATAATGGTCATTTCACATGTTAAATGAGAAAAATAAGGCAAGAATGAAGGTCAAACTGATTTAGCACATCATACAGTCTTTGTCAGCCAAGCTTAATATATCCTGAGTTTGTGGAACAAATGAAATTTTGCTGCTATGTTACACTTTGCTTCCAAACAACCATTACAACTGGTTTTATATATTGTGTGAGCATCAGACCATCAAACAGTGCATCTTTACTGACGTGTTGCTGCAGTGATGATCTACAGCAGCAATCTGCCATTTATATAAGGGCAAAATGTGCATCTATATTTAGTTGTGAAATTGGCCTATTATACTCTTGATGTTTACAGAGGCTAACATAAATTAATGATGACAGCTATGAGCAGTGCATTAGTTAAGCGGCAGAGTTCTTACCTTGAACTTGAAGATTCCAGTTTTAACTTTCAGTATATACTATCCAGCTTTCTTTACACATTTGATGAAGATTTCTGAAATTATTATCTTTTTTTGGAGAGCATCAAAAGACTTCAATTTGTGAGCTTTGTTGTGCATAATCCTACCACATAATAGTTGTTTATGCATTTCTCAATTACATTACCTTGTAAGAAAGATGATATTTACAATCATGCAAAAAAAGAAAATACCACTGAAAGATTTTTTTCTTTGCAGCAGGCTGATTTGATTGACTTTGAACTCTCTGTGATGGCAATGTGGGGTGGGCTGTTTTACTAAAAGTAATGAAGGAAGGGCAAGCATTGCTTATAGAATCTTTACTTTTCCCTAGAAAGCCTCCTCATTCAGCTCATGTCAGGGCTAGTGTAGGTACTGTAGTAACTATAGATTTCACTGTTAACTATGACCAAAGATCTGACAAGTATGCAGGTGTTCAAAGGTTCATGAGTTAAAATGCTGAAGCCTTTGATGAATTTTTGATGGCTGCATTTTTAATACAGGTCGACCTTCTTCCTTTGAGGCTGCATGCCAGATTAATTGATAAATAGTAGACGTCTGTAGTGCTGGGTTTTCCTAAGCAAAACAAGTAGGAAAATCCATAAAATCCTGCCTGTCTGTTTCCTTAGAAGTACTTTAAAAAGGTAAAATTTAAAATGGTTTTGACCTTACCTCTTCTTTCCCCCTACAGTTAGATAACCAAAATGTGCCATGTTCTTTTATAAAGGCTAGATATTGTGTTCTAAAAGTTTACATGAAGGTATTCAAACTGAGGCTTAGAGAGAGGATTTTATGTAGAGAGTGTGTGTATCTATCAATAATGTCAATATCAGAAGCTGTTTCACAAATATAAATTGTAAAAAAAACTGATAAAATATGGCTGTGAAGAAATCACTGGAGAGGAAGAAGCATTTGGTTAAGTTGGCTTACTTCTGTTGTTTCTCTGTGAATATTTATTATTTACTCTTTGTTATCCTCTGTAGATGTCCACCTATATTGTTTTCATAATCATAACCATTTCTGTGAAGCGGGAAACCAAAGTAATCAATTTTGCAAAGCTAAATTTGATCAACTACAAAATATAACTTACCTCTTTCAATTTAATGAGTCATCATGTCCAAAGTTATTTTTTTTTCCCACTGTGGACAAGAGACCCAGGGAACAGGTGACACCCTTACCCAGCTCCATGGTAGATCCACAGAGTTTACAAATCCTGAGTCAATTTCATAATATTGGCTTTGTGATAGTAGCAGTGCCTCTTTAACTTTTTTTGTGATTTTTATATTTTGCTGGCTTCTGGCTTAACTGCAATTTCGTTATTTGGCCTTGCCCCCAAATAAGAAGGTGGATGCTGTCAAATTTCCACACTTCTGTGGGCATCAGATGTCTTGGCTGAACTCTCCATGGTCCTGGATTTGGAGCTTTGCATAACTTCAGAGAACTTTCAGATTTGTGATCTTTTGGAATATATTTGGAAAAACCATCTTCTAGGAGTACACATGCACTCTTTCTGACTCATAATTATCATTGCCATTTAAAAATATTAAATAGAAGTTTTCACAATCTTTCTGAGTAATTCATTCTCTAACAGTTTTTCAGATGTTCGTTTTTATACATAAACAATATTGCTTGTATTGCAATTGAATAGCATCTTTTCTGCTTTAGTGTGCAAAAAATGGCTACTTATCCTGTACAGAAAACAATTTACTTATAAACCTTTAAGCTTCCATTAAATAAAACATAACTTTTTTATTTGAACCACTAATTAAGTACACCTGTGGTATACACAGACCATAGGCATAATGGGAACTGTAATAACAGGAAAAACCAGTATCTCTGCTATGAAGTTTTATTTTAAGTACACAATGTGATATGTTAGACCCAATGAATAGAAGTCATCTTAGTGAGAAGAGAGTGGAAGTTCAAAGCATAGAATGATTAGTGTGAAGTGAGCTTAGGTTTTCATTTAACATGTCTTATATAGTATTACTATGTGCCAGGGGCCATTGTAAACATTTTACAAAAAACTTATTTAATTTAAACAACAACTTTATGAAGTAGATAGTATTATCATCCCATTTCACAGATCAGAAAAACTGAGGCAGTAGAAGTTAAATAACTTGCTCAACTTTACATAATTAGTAGGTAATAGAGCCAGGATTTATACCCAGGCAGTCTGGCTCCAGAATCCATGCCCTTATCAGAGGAAATTTTAGACATTAGATTATTACCCTTTTGGTTCGGGTGATGGACCCCTCCTGAAAATCTGAAAATCACTTACTGTCTCCCCCCAAATATATCCATATACACACAGTTTTGCTCATGATACTCAGAGAAATATGTGTATTTGTTTGTGTGTATGCTTTTGGGAGTTGTTTGTTGATTTTGTTGTTTTTTCTTGGGGGTGATAATTATTGGTGAGGATATTAATAATGTAAGTTATCAAAGAGTTGAAATTTTCATTTGCTGAGGATTAATGAGAAGCCTTTTTTTCCTGATATCCAGAGGCTAAGTGTAAGAATATTATGCAGTGGGAAGTTTAGGCCCATGGAGTAGCTAATTGTGGATCTGAAGTTTAATAATATTTAGATGGTAGAGATCAGTGCTATAATATTCTTTGTAACCCATCCATTCTTTGAATAGTGTTCCAGAAAAGCAACCACAATTTGTTGGTTTAGAACAATATATACAAATATAAAGTTTATTTTAGGTTTTAATATTGTCCTTAATTCAATTTGAGAATTACTTATAACTAGGCTGTACTTCACAAAAGCAAATGAAAGATAAATCCATAATCTGTGTCATTGTCTTAAGGTCTTTAGCTTCATCTATTATACCAGCATCTCAACAACCTTTATAATCCTTTGACTGTATTTTATTGCTGTTGCTCTGAAAACCAATTACTGCTTATTACAGACGCAGTGCTATCACACTGAAAGTCTTCTGAACTATGGTGCCTGCATAATGATGTGATGTGGGAATCATGGAAACCCTTTGTTATTAAGATTATAGCCAAGAAGATTACTTCACTAGGGGGAGTGTGTGTTAGAGTAAAAAAATAAATAAATAAACAAAGGAGGGGTGGAGAAGAGAAAAACAAGCAAGGAGGTAAGGTAGGAACAAATAAAGTAAATAAAGGAAGTTGTACCCAGTGCTCTTTTACAACAGTAAGTAAAGCATCACTGGACAATGTGGAGGCAAGGCATTCAGAGACATTAGTGTCTGCTTACTCCCTTCCCAGAGTTGATACAGAAAAGCCATCTTCCCTTTGCCTATCCTTTGGAGCCTGTTGGGTTGATCCCTCTGATCTTGGGCTTTGCCTCTCAATGAGGATTAATTTTTCCTTAGATTACTGATAAGCCTATACATTAATAGCAATTACAGAGTAATTGCTTAATCCTCTACTTTGCTCCAGTTGAATGGAGAAATTCCTGGTATGAATATTAGGAATATTAATTAGATAACAAATGAATCCATTTGTGACCATTTGAGTGACATGTATAAAGAAAAATTAGATATAACATCCACATAAACTGCCTTTAAAATTGGCCTCTCGGGCCGGCCTGGTGGCGCACTGCTACAGTGCGCCACTTGGGAGCGCGGCGGCGCTCCCGCCGAAGGTTCGGATCCCACATACAGACCGGTTCCCGCTCACTGGCTGAGCGAGGTGTGGGCGCGACACCGAGGGTTGTGATCCATTGCCGGACACGAAAAAAGACAAAAAGGAAAAAATAATAATAAATAAATAAATAAAATAAAATAAAATTGGCCTCTCAAATTATTACCCAATTGTTGAAATGAGTCCTTGATCCATATTTGATCATGACATGTTTCATTTGGCTTGTACTATTTTTAAAAACTTTAATTAGTTAACATAATACAATTGGGAAGTGCCATATGAAAATTCAAATTTTGTTTTCTGGAAACTGCAATACCAGAAATCTGGCAACCCTGGGCAGTGGGAGTTGTATTTGATTTCAAGAACACAACAAAAGCAGAGCACTGAACATGAACCACTGATTGCACCTCCCCTGGGCACAAGTGGAGGAGAAGCCATGTCGAAAGACACAGTTCTTTTGGCACAGCTGACTTAACTATTGTTAGATAAATTGCTTTTATTATATAAAGGGGGGAATGTGAAGCATTCTTTTATCCTAAGGTGTTAACCTGGATCCTGGTTATGCTTTGACATATTTTAAGACATCTCTCACTTTACTTGCATAGTTTTCAACAAGCCAAAATTCAGTATTTGTAGAATCAAATGGAGGCCAGCCACGAGATTGGGAAATAAGTGACATAACAGGGCTTTTCCTTGTAAATTAATGATGTTTCTTCCTGAGGTTAGCTCCTGAAAGTTATCGAGGGACAAAGGTTTTTCACCTGAGACTTCTATGACTCTGAAAATGATAGCATTAACTTGTCTTTCTGAGAAATACATTAGTTAGCTAATGTAGAATAATTTATTAATAGAGTGAACATGAAACTTGTTGGGGTATTAGCCCAGCAAGTATATGGCCAGAGCATTATGTCATTACTTAAGTTACATAGATTTAGTAAAATAATTTGTAATTCAGTAATATATTTTCGATGTCTGAAGTGAATATAGTGGTTTCACTGTGAACAGTGTCAGGAATGCTATAATGTAATATGGAATATTATTCTCCATAGTACGTTAATAGAGAATGGAAACACATTGCTAAATACATTTTGGTCTATTCCTCTGGTCTTGCTTCCTTCCTCATTTCTCTCTTTCTTATTGTATTATAGTGGGAAAAAAGAATGCTAGATCCAAAGATTTGAAATGCCTTCAGAGTTCAATAAAATGAATACATAAAATGACTTTAATGAAACCTTGGTACTGTAAATATTACCCAGTTACTTATCATCAGGGTCTAATTTTGAATTTATTTCTTGTCAGACACAAAGCAGAGCAATTCAGAGTAGGGAGAATTCTCCTGTCAGATGCTCACACACAACTTCAGTTGTTCCAGATTCAGCCCTCAGCAATGTGAGCAAACTTCAAACAGAAATGCACATGAATAGTTAAAGGAAAATGCTGGATCCCACCTGTTGCCTCTTCTGGGAAGTAATATGTCTATAATGTTTATAAATTTTAATAACCCATGCAGAGCTTTATCTTTCAACATTAAATTTATATTATCTGAAGTTTGACTTTCCTGGCCAGTGTATTTTATTCTCTAGTATCTTAGAGAATCTATCTACATACTAATGTATGTGCATTAATAAAGAATTAAAGTATTCTCTTATCAATCAGTTATCAGCATGTTTATAAAGTTACATTGAAATCTTCATTTTCAATATGATATTTTCTTTATCCGACTGAAGGTGTCATGATCCTTACTGAGGGCTGGAAACATCAGCATTATATTTGTTGATTCTGTCAAAGTGAGTTGTGTTTGTGTTTACCTTTTGGACCCAAAGATGATAATGGAAAGCGATTTTTCAAAATGTTTCCTTTTGATTGCTTAAGATCGCTTAGTGATTAAAGTTAAATGAACAAAATAATTAGTTTGAGAATAGGTACATGATTCAAGCCCAATCTTTTAGATTACTTATAGCCAATTACATCAAGCCTCATTTGTAAACTTTGCTATGTCTTAGAAACAATGAATATATTTCAATGCATGGACAATTGGAGGGAAAAAGCTAAAAAGCACAACACTGTTTTTTACACGCTGAATTTGAGTTTGTGACATGTAAGGCCAGAGGTAAAATTTATGCTTTTAGTGGACATTGCCTAGAACTCATTTTACTGTGGCCCTTGAACTTAGAAGTAGTTTTTGGTAGATGTTTTCTGGGGAAAAAAGGAAATAAGAATAAAGCAGTTTGTGTCTGATGACAAAATCACTTATTCTAAACAACACTTTTCCACTTCTTTGATTTCAGTTTACAAGCATTGAGAAAGGAAAAATCCCGAGATGCTGCTCGCTCCCGCCGGGGAAAAGAAAATTTTGAGTTCTATGAATTGGCCAAGTTGTTGCCTCTTCCTGCAGCCATCACCAGCCAGCTTGACAAGGCATCCATCATTCGACTTACAATTAGCTATCTGAAAATGAGGGACTTTGCTAACCAGGGGGACCCTCCATGGAACTTGCGAATGGAAGGCCCTCCACCTAACACATCAGTAAAAGGTAAGCTTTAGGCCACTGTCAAATCTTGAATATGGTGGTCTGTAGTTGTCTTTAAGATGAAATGTTTACCTTCATCCTTTCTTCTTTTCCTGCATATCAAATCCTTTAAAGGGATACAAATGTGGAAATCTGAACTCTGCATGAGAAAGACACCATGTGAAGGTGAAATAAATCTCTTCTATTTCTACTTTATTTCAAAAAGTCTGTCAACCTAAATAGTCTATCATGTTATATAAGATTTCAGAGAAATGAGAATGAAATGACTTACATTAAAGTGCTTCTTGGTTTTAATTTATGTTATGCTAATACATCCAAATTCCTCTTGATGGGTGGAGTATGAGAATGTTTGTTAAATGGTAGAGCTAATATTTTCTGCTTTAAGTAACGAAAGGGAGGAAGGGAACAGAGTCCAACTTTAGCAGGCATTTTGAGTTAATGATTTTATCACTCAACAAAAATCAATCCATGTATTAATGTTTCAAGTTTCTGTGTATACATATTGCTTAAAAATTGTAAATAAAAACATATACCTTTTAAAATCCTTATTATTACTCTTAAAATTTATTGTTACTCTTAAAACACTGGTTTTAAGTGTTAGGGCTTTTTTACTCTGATACTTAAGACAGGTATTTTCTTGCGTGTTCCTGAAATGCCTAATAATTAATGGCATTTTTGGTATTTGAATATGCATGCATATATTTATTGACAAATATGTGGTGTTGGCCATTGATTTTCTGTCTTTAAGGGTATATTATTCAAGGCATATGACCTAAAGGATCTTCTAGATTTTTACATCTCAGCCTTGAACCTAGACCCTTGATAAGCATAGAATAAAACCAGGCATTTTGGGGAGTTGCAGGCATCCTCCTCTGGGAGTTGAATCAGTTCTTTAGTTATGTGATTATGCCTTGCCAATTACCTTTGGAAAAGTTCCTTGTAGTCTTACCTGTTGCAGGAAAAGGTACTAGTGGGGAGCTATAATCTTTTATAGGATTCAGATTGAAATGAAGGGTCAAAGGCAGTGATTTATTTGCAATTCCATGCTAAGAGCTGTGATCATATATGTGTACATGCATATATGTACTTAGGGATTTATGTTGTGCATGTGAGAGGAGGAAAATTTGGATTTAAATTATAACAGGTTATTTTTCCCTAGAGCAGTGGTTAGAAAACAATTCCTGTAAAGAGTCATATGGTAAATATTTTAGGCTTTGGGGGCTACTCAACTCTGCCATTGTAGCATGAAATCAGCCATAGATAGCATGTAAGTGAAAAGATGTGGCTGTGTTCCAGTAAAACTGTATTTACAAAACAAGCGGCAGCCACCAAATTTGGCCCATAGGCCGTAGTTTACAGACCGCTGCTATAGAGTGTAAAAATAACATTGGAAGGTTTAGAACACATAACAGAGGTACCTCTAAAGAACAGAACCTCAGTACAGATGGTCCTCAACTTGCAATGGGGTTACGTCCCATAAATCCATCATAAGTAGAAAAGATCATATGTTGACAATGCATTTAATACACTTAACCTACTGAACATCATAGCTTAGCCTAGTCTACCTTAAACATGCTCAGAACAGTCACATTAACCTACAGTTGGGCATAATCATCTAACACAAAGCCTATTTTATAATAAAGTGTTGAGTATCTCATGTAATTTATTGAGTATTGTACTGAAAGTGAAAAACAGTGTGGTTGTGTGAATACTGGAAGTTGGGTTTCTACTGAATGCATATCGCTTTCCCACCACTGTAAAGTCAAAAAGTCATAAGTGGAACCATTGTAAGTTGGGGACCATCTCCATAAGGTAGCCCAGGACAAAGAAACCAAGGCATATTCATGCTGCCCTTTTACAGTCCTTCTGCCCTTGAGAATGCAGGTATCAAGTTGGTAATACAGTAATGCAAGTTCTAGATCCTACAGTAGTAGTGAATTTTCCCAAGCGAACCAAGTGAATATAATCCTAGTAAACATACATTAGATATATTTTTTTCACTCTAGTTTGAGGTGTAGGCTATCTTCATGTTTATTCCAAATCATGCAAAATGAAAGGATAGGTGCAACAGGTTGGAAACCACACAGTGTGAAAAATATATTATTATTGAATTTGAAATAAATTGATGGGCTGAACTTGTATTTATTTGTTTAGCATAATCAGGTTTTTTTATTTTCATTTTTTGGAGAAGTTAGCAATGAATATGCCTTCTTGGTGTAGTGATGGCTATGAAAGTAGAGAAGTTTGAAGGTTCCATTGTCCATCCATTCTTCTGTGATGTGATAGTCAAGCTTACTTTTAGAATCATGTAAACTTTTAGAGATGTGTGTCATATAGATCAGATCAGTCCTATAGATGTAGATCATATAGAACTATTCCCTTATTTTACAGATGAGGGAAGTGATGTGGAAAGGACTTTACAGTTAAGTGTTAGCAGATCTCAGATAAGACTCCAATTTTCTTGCCTTTCTGTCTAGTGTTCTTTCCATCATATCATGTCATGTTTACAGACAATATTTGCTTTGTATCACCCTCATCCAACATTCTAGGTGAAAATTTTGTCAGTTTTGGATTTTATCTAGTAATTCATTTTTGCTTTGTGTCCTTCAATAAGTTCCACTCTATAATTACTTATTATGATTGAGATGGATACAAAGAAGATAAAACATAGTCTCTGTCCCCATGGGTGTTGCAGTCTGTGGAAGAGCCTTGTAGTGTCACTGAGAAAAATTACGAAGTTGGGATGAATGTTTAGTAGCCTGGAAGGTAGATTACAGATTTTACTACTTTAAAAATCCCATCCAGATGATGACAGAGCATCGAGGTTAGCACATGTACATTTTCAAAATTGGTAAACTGATGATAGGCTAGAACTGAAAGTGTAAGCATAGTGACTCCATGCTATGTACCCTGGCTCTGAACAGTTGCTAGGAATGCAGTGGGCACATTCTGTAAGCCAGTTCTGCTGTACAATATATGCACAGTCCATTTTATTGCTTTACTCTAGTTTTTTCCTGCAAAACTGCTACTCATTCTAATCAAACATTCATGAAACAACATCAAAAGAAATTCATTTTAATTTATTAAGGTCTTCTATGTTGTGCCCTTGAAGAAGTTCATATGGATAAACAAGCTTATATAAATAGCCTGCAGCATCATGTGAAGTGCAGTTCATAATCCAACAATAAAACGATAGACATTACACTTCGTGCTTCTCCAAGCAGGCTCTTGAATAAACCTAAAGGCATTTGGAAATTTATATGAAAAGTACTTACGCTACAGAGGCAACATTTTTTTTTAATGTGATGAGTTGATCATGTTAATAATTAAATTTCAAAGCTTAAATTTAAATTTGTTCCACACAACTATATAGAAATATAATCATTTTAATTTACTGCTTCAGAAAGGTCCTTTACTCTGCCCTGTATTCATCACATCTTTTCTTAACAGTCTATAAAGGTTGATGAGTTTGTTTTGTGATGCCCATTGTATACAGATTATTACAAGTTATGCTTACAGAAAGAATACTCAGGTGATAGTGTGTAATATGTTCCAAGTCAATTACTTCATGGAAATGATATGTTAAGCAATTGGAAGGTAACAGATAGTTTTTCCCATTATTTTAGAACTATCTGTATTGTTATAATACAGATCAAATCTACAATGAACATTATGCATTATTCAAGAAATGACCAGGCGTTCTCAGCAGTGTTTCAGCTAAATAACTGATGATTGTAACCTTTAAAGAAATCTCATTGTGGTGACTGTTGGTAAATCACTTCTCCATTCATAGTAATCTCTATTTAGAGGCTATCTAGAAACCATTATATCTTTTATTAATCTTAAAAGCAGTAGCTGCTGATTTGACATTTGCTAAAACTAGATAAATTTTCTGTCTTTCTGATATCACAGACTTCAGTCAATTTTTGGAGTATGTCTGCTGCAACTCTATTAATCTGGGAATATTTACCATTGTAAGCCTAAGTTTTATTTCAGTTTAAACATTATGCTTTTAAACAACAATTTCCTATGTGTTTGACAAGAGGCAATGCTAAAATATGTAAAATATAAGACATTCTCAGCCTTTGGAAAGGAACAATTGAAAAATATGCAAGACAACTGTTGATTAAAATTGACTGAACACATTAGGGAAGAACTTTACTATTTTCATAGGATTTCCCTTCACTATTTCAGGCATCTATTGTAAATAGATGTTTCTGAGAGGAGAGACTTGCAGGTCTTTATGTAAGCAGTACATATCTATGCTTAGCCAAAGACCAGACCCTTGCTTAAGGAAAGATGTTTAGTGGATTCATTTAAAATAGTCAGGTAGTATAACTGAATATAGGGTATCCTTTAGAGTGATGCTATGTTACTATTATGATGGTTGTCCCTAAAACTTAGATAGCATTTTATGAAATGCATTCTGTTTCAGTAGAAAGGTAGAGATTCCAAGACTGTCTGAGTGGTAGATCTTCTTAGTCTAAGCAGCTCAGAAGTCTTCCAGTTCCTGTTCTGGCATTTTACTGTGTACTGACATATATTTAGTCTGCCAATTGACAGTCAAGCTTGGGGGCAAGTGTCATATTCCTCAATACTAAAAAACCATGTGAGACGAAGTTTCCTAGAATCAGAGCATGACCATATGCAACTGGCCTATGGCATTCTTTTTTTTCTTTTTACACAGACAAAGGGTAGAACCAAGACTGAAGCCTTAGATTCTGAGCAAAAGCTTCCTGTAGGACTAGGAGAGTAGAGTAAAAGATAGAAACTTGGTTCTTGCTTGATTCCTGTTCTTACCTCACTCACTTTTATTAGTCTGAGGGACTGACTCCCAGTTCTGGTCTCTAGTACTATTTGCCTCAATCCAGAGTGGGTGGTGGCACCAAATGGAAACAGAACCCTCCAAAAGCTGAGCTGCCAGTGTTCATCACTGTTTATGTTGGTGGTGAGTGCCAGGTGTTACTAGTATATGGAAATATGATATAATTACTTTTTTGTAG